GCTGAATTTCCATTGGATTAGGACATCAATGTTTCCCTAATTCCTAGAGTCAGTTTTATCCGAACTTTGCTTTTTTTTTTTTTTTTTTTTAGCAATATTAGCAATACTGACTTGATCCTATCTTGTATTGAAAGGGTATTTGGCCAGGGAACCCAAACTCTAGGATATCTCAGGATGGCTCATCAGCCCACATAAGGTTCCCGGGAAAGGTTCTTGAGCTGAGCATTGCTGAGCTTCATTTTGGCCTGAGATGTTAGGCCTAGAGCACACACAGAGGGTGAGTCTTCCTCTATGTAGTTTAGCTCCCCTGAGCCCAGTAGTGGGGTAAATAGGATGAAGAAGAAATGCTAATGAGGAAGACCAGTAACAAGGTCTGTGCAAGTAATTCAGAGAGGAAAAAAAAAAAGATAAAGGCTTGAATTTAGATAGTTAATAATGGAGATAACCACTTCATTGTGAGAAGTCTGAAGTAATTGACAGAATTGTTGGACTAGGGAGATGAGAAAGGGGATTTGAGGATGACTTCTGAGTTTCTAGGTTGGGAAAAAAAGGGTATGTAGTGTCTTCACGTTAATTGAAAGAATAGAAAAAGAAGTTTCTAAAATTCTGCTTGTGATTAATTTAGCTGGAACGAAGAGAAATACACGTATACTAAATTTGTTGAGATGTAGATGTTGTGAGAATGTTTTAATTTAGAATACACATTGAATTAGAGGTAACTTTGCACAGATCATGAGGTCTCATAGAAAAAATGTCTGAGATCTAGTTAAAATTTGTATTTTTAAGTAAGATAAAGTGGTTGAATAACAATTAGATCTTTGTTTCTTCAAGAGGGTTTTAGGCATAAGTGAACCTAAGATAAAGGAATGTGAATATCTGACTTTTTGTAGCATAAGCTCAGTGGTGGGGTCAGGATTGGGGTTTACCAACACCACAGCAGCTATTTGCAGGGGAGATTTCCCGGATAATGAAAGTAGCTCGCCCTAGGATCAGGGAAGGGAACATGCTATGTGTGTATGTGTATGTGGGGGGCGGTGGGGAGGGGGTTGGAGCAGAGGGGAAAATGGTGATCATCGGTGCCACCTTTGAATTTGTCTCCTATACCTGATCATTAGGTCTATCTGCTTGCTTTTTTAAGTGCTGGTTTTGAAAGATCAATTTTGTCAGACCACATGTGGGGGTTGGATTAGTTAGAGAAGACTGGAAAAGGCTGTTTCAGTTCTTCTGAGACATCTGGAATAGGAGGGAATAGGGAAGAGAACACAATATGGGCAGTTCAAGTCTTCTGGAGAAGGACTTTCATGTAGATTGTCCAGTGAGAGCTGGAAATATGAGCCTGGAAGTAGATATTTGAATTATTGACTTAGAAGTGGTTGAAGACTGCCTTGGGGTGGGAGGTGGTGGGCAGGATCTCCTGAGAGGAGCACAAAGAATGAGAAGTAAGTAGACCATACATAAATGGAATCTCTGCTGATCTAATAGTTAAAAGACAAGCTTATTTGGAGGAATCTGGAAAAGAAACTAAAATCATACGTTCATAAATGTAGGAATGATTATATTTTCTCTTTAAAAATACACACAAATTCTAAAGGTTGCCTCACTTTACAAGAGCTGGACACTTTATTTCTTGTCATACTAAATGCCTAAATTAATAAAAGCCAATCTAGAGATATATTTCAACAAGGATCAACAACACTTTTACTTAAAAAATAAAACAACTTTATTGTGGCATCACTACTATATATAGCTATGTTTTTCACATCAAGTTGATTTAGTTCTTTCAAGAAAGTCTTAATGACTAAAACTGTACAGATCATAGGGTAAGAGAACTAGTGTAACAAATTCAGTAAAAAATATTTTAGAAGAATTATACTATAATTTTAGACTATACTAAAACAGTCTTAGAAAATTATTTACAAATTCATCATAGTATAAACATTTTAAACTTTAAAATAAACCCATGGATTTTATACAAAAATATTCTAAAGTACAAATATAAGTTAAACACTGAATAAAACATTCACCATGTCCAGTGCAAACTATAATTAACAGTATATTCTAGGTGATAAAATTTAAACTGATAACCACAAAACAGTTTTTTTAATCATTCATAATTTTAAATATTTTAGTAGTAATCACAAAGTTTAGAGTTTCATTGTAAAGTTTTCACAAAGTAAAGAGTTTCACTGTAAAGTTTTTACAAATGCAAGATATACAGTTTCCTTCACAGACCCCTTCTCTTTAGCTCATGTAAAAAGGCAACAAAGTAATAAAAATTTCTTAGTCAAAAGTTGACATACTATGTCAAGTATCTAAATTGTAAAATTTTCAAAAACTTAGCTGATTCCCTTTGAAAAGGAAACAGGTATAAGTTGTACATAAGAAAATATAAGAAACACTGCTGCTACAGGATATCTAATCAATCTAAAAATAATGTTCCCACACTTCAGAAAAAATATTAAGTACTAAATCTTTAAAAACCATTGTTTTATGAATAATTATTGACAGAACAAAACTTTTAAATTTAATGTTGGTATGAGATATATTTGGAATAGTAGAAGAAACATCTTGCCAAGTGGTATCATTTTGCTGTGTACAAAACAAACACGTCTTATTGTTTAAAAATTTTCCCCAAATGCTACAAATAACTATTTTAAAACAATGTTGATATTATTTACAGTTGTTTTTTACCTTGAGGTACTAATTTTGCATTTGGTCAGATCTTCATAAAAATTAAAAAGGAAGATGTGTGGCCTAATAATACACCAATTTAAGTTTTCTAAGAAGTGTAAAAACACCATTCAAATATACATATTCTAGTTACTAACCACATTCTTAGAGAGAAAACACACATTAAAATTATTACCCTACGAACAATTTGGACTTTAGTTTCAGCTTCTTTTACTCCCCATTCTATTAAGTAGAGCTATAAACATGGCATTTTGTGGATAATTAAATGTGGATACCAAAATAGCAACTAAACAACCGAAAAAGTACATAAGACTTCTACTTTGGAACAGAGTAAATACTGACACTGGAAGAATTTTATATGGCTCATTTTTCCTAACGTGGTAGTGCAAATTAGAAAACTTTTAGAAGAATTTAGTCATGGAAAGAAGGAAGCATAATCTCATCTTCATTCACTCCTTGTTCATATCGAACAGAAGAGAATCCCGCCCAATGCAAACGGTTCCTTTGGAAAAGGAACCAAAGCAGTCCGCCGATGAAAGCTAGGACACTTAGCACAGCAAATGTGATGGCTATTCCTCTGTAATCAGGGCCTAGAATAAGGAAAGTTTTAACATTGGAGGAGAGAAGATAAAAGTGATCATTATTGATTTTATACATTCTGCTGTGTGTCGCATATGCAAACCTCGTACAAATGAGACAAAATAAGTTCCTGATTGTTTCATAGCATGAATACAGAATTCAAACCCATCATCAAATACTTAAGTGCTTTATTTCCAAATTTAACTGTTTTCCTTTTTACTCAATTCCTCTTCATTGCTACAGCAATTTTCTTCCAAAGAAATTAAAGCACTATCGTTATTCTCACTTCCCCTTCCCATCACCCTTCTGAGTATATCACTCAGTATATTACCTCGCTTTGATAGCAATTTGCTAAAAGCTGTAAATCTTTCTGTTTGGCTTACGTGGGGCCAAATAAAGTATTATCTGCTTTAAAATGGTTTAAGCCTTTAGGATGACCTCATTTAGTTCCTAGCTTTTCAGTTTTAAATGCTGTTCCAGGGCCCTTCTCTGAATACTGCCAACATGGACTCATTCTGTCCAATGGCTTTAATGCCGTCTCTCTGCTGACCTCCCTTCTCTCTCATGTGTCCAATGGCATCCTATACATTCCACATGGTGATCTCATCTCCATATGCTTAGTTCAAAATGGCCAAAACAGAACTCTTGGTTTATAATCCCCTAAGCCTGCTCCCACCTACCCCCCAAAATCTTCCAGTCTTTTTCCATTCCACTCAGAATAGAACCAGAACTCCTGACCCTTTCTTCCAGAGCCCTAAGTATCTGGCACCAGCCTACTTTCCAGTTCTTCCCTGAGCACTCAACAAGCTGGTTCTTCTTTAGGGTCTTTGGGGCAACTGGTACCTCGGCCTGGTGAGCCCTTTCCGATCTCAGCTTCGAATGTCTCCCGTTCTTAAACATCTTGCTGATACCCCAATCTAGAATAGCCATCCCCCTGGTCTTGATCAGAATTTATAAATGTTTGATATTTTTCTCTCTTCTAAATATTCACCTTGGTTACTTATTATCTGTCTTCCTCCACTAGATTGTAAGCCCTGTGAGAAAAAGTATCTTATTTTCCTGTTCATAGGTGCATCCCAGCACACAGAACAGGTCATGACATACAGCAGACACTCAAAATATATGCTAAATTAATGCATGATTATATAGATACTGAACGACTAGAATTCATGTTTTATCTTTGATATTTGTACACCAAAACGAACACTTTTATGCTAGATCTTTAAAAATGTTGCTATGAAAAATTTAGAGATCTTTCTCTAGAAATGAAGTTATTAAGATAAGATTTTTATGGTTATTTTATATATCAACTTATGATAAAACATAAGTTCAAATTATGATTTATTACAGATACTAAGGACATTTTAAGTAATTAAATCCAGTTTTGCAATCTTGTTAAGTTAATCACGAGTTTTAAGGCAATGAGGAGAAAGGAAGCAAACTAACTGCAGAAATAGAGCTTTCACATAGTGAAACTATAGAACAAAATACATCTTAAGAACATTCTCAAAGAAGTGACCTCCCTAATATCTGGCAGCTTCCATTTTTCTTAGGAAAGAACTGTACTAAGTTTAGATTGTTTAGTAGTTTCCTCTGGAAGTCCTAGGCATCTTATGCAGTTATTGTTTCTTATAATCTAATTTCCCAAGGGAAGGAATCTGACTTAAGATTTTTTGGATATACCTTAAGGACTTAACACTATAGGACCAAGTACATATTATTGAGATACACATTTCTTTCCTAACCTGTTCTGCAAAAATATTCCTTAAGGATAGGTTACATACTTACCCAGAGGAACTTTGCAGACAACTCTTCCATAGCCAAGTGAACATTCAACTTTTATCCAAGTTTCATTTGAAGCTAACAAAATGCTACATTTTCCACCATCACTCTTACGTTTATTTGCCCACTTGACAAATGTAACTTTTGATCCATCTAACCAATTCCAAGACTGGCCTAAAGAAAGAAATTAAATAAATGATATTTATCACCACTAAATTACTAAGGTAAGAAGGCATGCGGCTCATATAGTGCTGTGCAACTATTTAAAATGAAATTTATTAAAAGCGAAAAAATTTAAAAATCAGTCCATCAGTTACACTTGTCACATTTCGAGTGCTCAATAGCCACATGTGGCTAGTGACTACTATATTTGATAGTACAGATATAGAACGATTCATCTTTGCAGAAAATTCTATTAGACAACACTGTATAGAGTGTAATGTTTTGATTGAAATGCAGAATTCTTACACATTTATTGTGTGATGGATAGGTTTCTAATGACTCATATGCTCCTCCCTCTCTCTGCCCTCAATTAAAAAACTTGTAACATTAGAGATATGCTGGTGGGGAATGAAGGATCCAGGAGGATCTACACAGGATGACTGTCTTTGTCTTTCAGCTGAGGTAGCACCACCTTGTGGTGATAATGTAAACACAATTCACAATTCATTTAGATGGTCAACTTGGAATCTATTGGCTTTTTTGACATGTACTTAATATTTCGGATTTCGCATTTATTTCAATTATTTAGAATTCAACTTTGCATAGAATATGAAACAGACTTCCTACTTTTCTGTCAAATTTGTACTCTGAATTCATTCTTTATCAATTTCAAGTTCACTCAAACCCTGGAAAAATTCTTCCATGGATCTTTTTGAACGAAATTTCTGTAATTTTACTATGCGAGTTCAAAAAAAATCACTATTAATATTTAATTTTGCTCTATGGTAAAAATGTTCCAAGAGAGAAGGTATCAACAAGAAGAGAACTTTCTGAATAACAGAGTTATAAACCAGAAAAACTGTATAGACAGGAGAACTCCAAGGGAATTAAGGGATGGATTGTGGGGGCATGGGCACACAGATATTGCTATAGACGAAAAGAAATATCCTGTTGATCCAAGTATCTTAAGCCTTTAGAACAATTCCAGTTGATTTCAACTGATTTTCTCTTTCACTAGTGTTTTTCATCATTACTAATAAGTCACTCACTGATTAATTAGGAATTTATAAGCCTCCAAAAAGCAGACCTAACTTGTTCATCAAGAAACATTTGAATTAGCCACCACTTGACATTCTCTAGCAAAGGTGGCTTGGTATTTAGGACAAGTTAGAACTCTTTGCATACTGCACACACAAAGATGTCACTTACTGGCAGCATGTCGAGATAATCCAAGCCAAACTCGCATGGTAATATTATTATTTTCTCTCATCAATCTACTCACGAATTTATTCTCATCTTCATTCTCTATGGTAACAATAGTTGCAGAATGATCTGTTGAAGGAAAACAACCCCCAAACTAATTAGCTTTATGCAAACTAGGGAAGTGTTTTTTCTCAACCAGCTACTTGGAAAGAAAAAAAACTATCATGATCAAGAAATTCAATCTTTACAAAGAGAATGTTTTTAAAATCTGATATCTGTCAGATTTTTATAAGTATAGCATTAATAGCTTCACCAAAAAAAGTTAAAAATATTTCTAGATTGAAACTTTGTGTATAGGAATTTTGTTTCTTCAAAATGTTTATCTGATCTTGGAACTGCCTAACCAGTGTCCGAATAGCTAGGCATAAGAAGTGAGGTATGTGATGGTAGAAAAACGTATTTCC